GAGAGAGAGAGAGAGAGAGAGAGAGAGAGAGAGAGAGAGAGAGGAGATGGAGACAGATGGAGCAGTCAAAGGTAGTTGGTATATCTAGGTTGGGTATTGGGTTGCACTACTGATTGTATGGGTATCTTGTTACTGATCATTACCAAATATATAAGCCTTTGATTAATCTTTAAGCATTAGAGTCTCATCTTTCTACTGAGTCCACATGGATGGCGGGATGGTCTGGGCAATGCCCAGCCTTGCAGAGACAGCATGGAAGATTAGCAGAGCCATCTCCCACACTGATGTCTCGTGGGTGGCAGGGCTGGTGTTTCTGGCTGGCTGATTTTAGCTGCTGCTTGCACGTGGCCTCTGGCCATGGAACATGGTGGCTGAGGTAGGCAGAGCTGTCATAGCTTAGATAGTTGGCTTGACTGGAGGCCGCTTTTTAAATATTTACAGCAACACCCGATGACACATGTGCAATTCTTGGAACTCAGTGGAAGGAGAATACAAGTGCTGGAAGGTGTCACAGACATAGACATCACAACCCTCAACCACACCCAAAGAGTAATAATACAGCTTAAAACCCAATACAGGTACTTGCTTTAGCAAAACATACGTGCGGTTGAGTAATATGATTCCTGCTACATGAGTAATATGATTCCTGCTCAAAAACTCATAAGGTAAAACCACTGCCTTGCCAGAAGAGAACCATGTGACCATCCCAGTATATCTCCACCAGCAGATGATGGCATTCACCACCTATCCTTGATCCACATAACCTCTGAAAGCCAGGAGACAGCACATCGGACCTATGTTCTTCAGAGTGGAAGACCCCCTACAACACAGACATGGTTGTTGCCCTCGGAATGGGTACTTGGTTAGTTTTTTAAGAGTCAGGGTCTCACATATCCAAGATTACACTTGATCTAAAGATCCACGTGAACTCTAAATGCCACCAGAGGGACGATGCCAGGTGGTGGTTGCCAAGAAAGCAACATTTGCTCTAGATCATCACAAAAGCTACGGCAGGATGCTAGGACTCTGAGACTGAGTCCATAAAATGAGACCCAGGAGCACATTACAGGTAGTTGGACTAAGGGGTATTGCTGATATGTGTCTCAGCCTGGGATCTAGAACCTGGAACAAAGTCACAACAAATACGAGGAACCACTCAGACCTAAAGTGTGCCTCACAGCACTTAGCAGGGGGATGTGCCACAACTAAGTGCTAATCCTGTCCTGCCACTTTGCAGCCATATGTACTTGGGAAAGATAGTTGTGTCTGGGCTTACTTTGATATCCACCAAATAAAATGTATTAAAATAGCTATTGCTATGTATTTAAATATATGCTTCCATTATCCATTCATCCATTAGCCAGTATCTATCTATCTATCTATCTATCTATCCATCCTTCTATTGTCCATCTATTATCCTCTTGATCCATCCATCCATCCATCCATCCATCCATCCATCCATCCATCCCTTTTATAAAATGGTTACAATTTTACCCCTTTAAAAGTTCCCACTTGCCAGGCAGTGGTGACACATGCTTTAATCCCAGCACTTGGGAGGCAGAGGCAGGCGGATTTCTGAGTTTGAGGCCAGCCTGGTCTACAGAGTGGGTTCCAGGACAGCCAGGGCTATCTCGAAAAACCAAAAAAAACAACAACAACAACAACAACAACAACAACAACAACAAAAAAGCTCCCATTACCTTAACTTTGTATCCTATGCCAGCCCCAAGTTCTCTATGTAACTGAGGTTGGCCTTGAACTCTGATCCTCCTATCTGCCCTGGTCCTAACCTCTGCCATCAAAATGCCGTGTCTCAGGTTGCACAGTTGTGCCATGGAAAGAAACTTCAAAGATTAAACAAGTTCCTATGCGTAAAACATTTGACATATTCACTGCACATACTGAACACTCATTATAGGTGGATGTGTTAAAGCTCGACAATATTGGCTATTAGGTTCCAAAATGCCATGATGTCAAACAGAGACTAGGACAACCAATTTGTTCTGACGAGGTGTGGAAAGTTTTGAAATTTCTTCTCTCACAGAGCCCTCACAGGTGGCATGGTAAGCAGCCCGCTAATTTTAGCAGGAAGAGAATCAGAAGGGCAGGCATTCCTGGGAGGTTTACTCTTGGTAACACACTCACGATTTCAATACCACCTGTAAAAGGATATGATGGCCTTTCTTAGTGTCTGAGGCACCAAGGAAGACATCACATGAAATGGTGCTTCGGTAGACTCTGTACAGTGCAGCTGATGTGGCAACTTAAAACCCTTATTGATTGTGCAGGGGATATGATCCAATGGTATGTTTATGTGAGTCACACACCACAGGAGTCTGATGCCTGGAGTCAAGAGGTGGTGTTTGCCAGTTGGAAATCAGCTTCCTCACAGGGACAAAACTAAATGACTGGGTTTCCTCTCAAAAGTTGTGCTCAGAGCCTCCGCTTGAGAGATTTTAGGCTGTCTACTTGGAATGAACATTGATTTTTTTTTTTTTTCGAGACAAGGTTTCTCTGTGTAGCCCTGGCTGTCCTGGAACTCACTCTGTAGACCAGGCTGGCCTCGAACTCTTGAACTCAGAAATCCGCCTGCCTCTGCCTCCCAAGTGCTAGGATTAAAGGCGTGCACCACCACTGCCCAGCTGGAATGAGCACTGATAATAGAAATGCCCAGTGAAGCTTGGCATAATAGTAGTACACACCTTTAATCTCAGCAGTTGGGAACCAGAGGCAGATGGATCTCTATGAATTCAAGGCCAACCTGGTCTACATAGTGAGTTCTAGGACAGCCAGGGCTACAGAGAGAAACTGTCTCGAAAAACAAAGAAACAAAGAAACAGAGAAAGGTTTTATTATATTCCTCTTGGATTATACCCAAACCTTTATTTCTAAGAAACTACAGTTCAAGACACAATTTGGGTTACAGTTGACTGATATATTCTGTAGTGCACTTTTTGCCTGTCACCTGCTTTGATGCCAGCAGGGATTGTGCCTTAGCTGCCGTTCCATTGGTTTCTACCTCTAATAGCCGTTGTTCCACCAGAAAGACTCTCCATCATCATTCTGGCCAGGAAGGGTGGTGGTCATTGGCAAACTCCTCCTGTATATATTGCTTCCTTAATTGTATGATCTGGGCTTGGGAGGGGGGTAGGGTCACCACTCCCAACTGTCTAGTCTCCAGAAGCAACTGTATTTTACCCAACTTCCATTTGTCTTCCAATCTTCAACCCACTAAAGAAAATAGGTATGAGTCTGTTGCTCTTCTCCGGGGCCTGGTGATTCTGGGATGACCGTAGTTGGCTCAGTAGAATTGTGATGTGGAGTGTATGCAAATTTGACTCTTCAGAACAGAGAGGCCTCAACTTCACCAGAAACAGGGGAGAAACTTTACTAAATAGCATACCAAGACAGTAGCCCATTGGGGCTTTAAAAGAAGACAGCCAGAAGAGGAAATTCCAGAGAATAACAGTGAAAGGGGTTTCTGTGACTTTCTATTCATCTACATGGAAGGAGATGTCACCCTTAGGAGCTCTCCTGTACAGAAGACACCCTCTATTAACTATGCATTAGATACATTGTCAGGCACAGAACAATGGCACTCTTAGGTGTATTTTACACCACCATGTAAGCCGCACAACAGGCTGGTTGGTGTAATAAAGTCAATACAACGGTGTAGTCATCATGGTCTCGGAGACTCTCATTTAGACCTGGGTCCAGGATGAGAAAGTCTGCCTGGGAACCAGTTTGGTAGCTCTCAGATTCTGTGGTCCTTGCAAACTTCCCCAGGCTCTTGAATTCCGAGAGACAGACATCATAACACCTACTAGTGTCCAAACGCATTGTCTTGTGGGAGAGAACACTTTCATACGCTGTGGGTTCTAAGCAAGATGGCCTACTTTTCTATTCCTGTCTTCTTGTCACGTTACTAAATGCAGTGAACACACACGATGCCCTTAAAGGGACTGCCCGCACTCCTGTTTTTTGGCTGGACTGTTATAAATGATTAATTGATCCATAAACAAGAAAAAAACTGCAGATGACCCGGCTACTATGAGGCCAAGTGACCTGGAGTTCATTGAAGGGACCAAACTTAAAGGAACCTGCTTATCTGGTGATATCCAATCTGACCCTTCAAAACTGAAAAAGAGTCACAGTCTTAAGTCACAGATAATGCACTGGAATATGGACGGTGGTGATATTGTGCCTGAGGATAGAGAAGCGATGGTTTCATGGCAGCCACTTGGAGTCACAAGTATAAAACGCAGTCAAATTACTGACTAAAATCCTCGTCAGCTTGTATAAAGCAACTAGACGGACTACCATCCCCTGTTTCCCATCCCGGAAGTGGTGTATATGTGCACGCATGCGTGTGGAGGAGGGCCTTGGACTCCCTGGAGCTGGACGTGAGCTGCTTTAGCATAGTTTTTATACAAAGCACTTTGCGTCATATTTCAGATGCAATACCTACACTTCAGGAAGAATCAAGCTGTACAGTAGTATTTCTTCCCCCATAAAAAAATAAATGTGATGGCGAGCTAGAGAGATGGCTCTGCCATTAAGAGCACTGGCTGCTCTTGCAGGGGAGCCAAGCTCAGTTCTTAGTGCCCACATCAGCCAGCTCTTAATCATCTTTAACTCCAACCTCACGGGTTCGAGTCCCTCTTCTGGCCTCTGAGGACACGCACGCACATGTGCACATGCACACAAATTGTAAAATGGATCTTAACAGATCTGAGCCTTTTTCTGTTATAATTTTCTATTTTTATTTAAAGAAGTTTTCATCCTAGAAGTATTTTAAAAAAGGCGTCTTGTCTGGCCAACTTGGGCAAGTATGATTTCTTTCTTTACATGCTATGGTTACTGGGAGTGATGATTCATACCTATGACTCCTGCTTATGGGTGTCTGTGGTAAGGAGGACTGCCCGGGCTCAAGTCCAGGCTGGGCTCCGTAGGGATTTCCAGGCCGATAAGCCACAGGTCCACTTGTTACAGTTTATCCCCTCCCCATAAATATCATACTGTCTGTCCACATTGGGATTCTGTTTCTTTGATTCCTCAGAATTAGAGCCATTAAAAGAGCCATTCATTCCAAGAGGGCTGGGAGGTGTCATTCCCAACTCAGCACTAGGCCACCATAAAGGCTTACCAGGAAGGCTGTTACAGCTGCGAACAATTCCTAGCACATACATAAAATTCTGACTGTAACATGGATGGCAGCTAGGCATGTAGTGGCTAAATGCTCCCAGGTAAATTATCACACATGTAATCTTCAGCTTATGGGGACAGGACACAGCACTGGATTTGAGGAAAAGCTATGGCAGGAACATCCTTAAATTCACTCAGGGCTGTGTGGAGAGATGGCTTCCACTGCCCTGCATTCTGTATAGAAACCCACCCGGCTCAGCCCACATCTGTCGACACAGTTCGGTTCTGACGCCACGCATCCCTTTGGAGCTTATGTGTGGTTTTCAGTTTGCCCTTAATTTCACAGCAGGAGAAAGAATCAAGTCCACTCAGCAAACAACCTAAACACAGCCAGAGAAATCCTGGAAGACAAATTGACAGGGATCACAGGGAGTTCTTGAGGTACCCTTGTTAAAAAAAAAAATAAGCGCCATCTTTTAAAAAGTTGCATTCTTTGCATAAAGTCTCTGAGCAGAAATGAAATATTTAATGAGCAGCATTAAGAAAGACCTAGCATCTGAGAAGCACACACTCATGTTCTTGCTTTGCCTCTCTGGGATGTACCCAGTGCTGGTTTGCCACCACAAGGTCAACATGAAACCCTGTGCCCTACCGGAATAGGACGCTGTTCAGAGCTGTGTTTCCCTAGAAGACTTCTAAGCTTTATATAAAAGGAACATTTGAAAATGAACATTGCTGCTTACAATCTCCAAATCTAATAGCCAGCCTCTGTACATCAAACCAGTCTGCCCCCCCTCTGTAGCCTGTAAGTCACCTACCCTTATTTCTTTGTCATATTCTTTACCAAATCCACCATTTGACCAATTCTTCCACACGTAGTAACCCCAGAGTGAGAGCAAGCATGAATAGAGACTTGGCAATACCTGGGATTGGTTTGATTTCTCCATAGAGGGCAGAAGCTTTGACTTCTTGCTTTCTACCATCTACGCCCTCTACGTGTATGAAACCCCAGGGTCACCTAGACCAGTGACTCTCAACCTTTGAATGGTGTGACCTTTTAATCCAGTGCCTCACGATGTAGTGACCCCCAGCCAGGAAATTATTTTCATTGCTACTTCACAACTGTACTTCTGCTACTGCTGTGGATTGTACTATAAGTATCTGGGGTTTCTGATGGTCCTAGG